AGTGCGACTCTTTTCTGTCCGTCGCTGGGCTCGAATTGCCCAACTCCGTTGCAAGAGCAGTTGTTGCTTTCGACATTTTTGCATCACATTCCTGGGTAAGAAATTGTGACAGTGTGAATTGCAACATCTCAGTATCTCGGAGAAAGACGTTGCGAAAAAGAAAAACGTGGCTTCGGATCGAATCCGATGGCGGTTCTCTGGATTGAAGAAAACGCGGCAGTCTGCTACTCAGCACGGTTTGGCGAGTGTGCTTGCTGATGGGACTTGTCTAATGGTATTGAGTACTATTGGTTTCTGGCGTGTGTCATGGCATTGCGTACTATTGGTCTGTGACGCGATGTTGCACAAAGACGGGACAATGCATGTGTCTAAGGCCATAGCCTCAACGTCTACCGCCCTCGAGTTGCTGCGGGATGACACTTTTGAGCATGCAAAACGACGGACGATGGTCACGAGCCAATTGCCATACGCGAACATGTCGCGACTTTTGAATTCTTTGTGTTGCCACATTGCCACGAAAGTGTGAGCCTTGAGAGACATTCGCCGTGATGGGCCTTGGCATAGAGCCCGAGCCATTTGCAGAGTCTGACTTGTATTCTTGGATGGACCAGCATTTTTTTGTTGGGCCTCAAACTGTCAGGTGTGCTGGCAAGCTGACATGCCCCGACGTCTTGCCGTATGCCACTACACGGTGATGTCAATCGGCTCCGGTGATCGAAAATCATGATAGCACAAGTTGGACGAACCAACATGTCTGTCAGGCACAGCTAAAAGATCGTTCGTGTTTCGTAAGATGCCATTAGCTCGAGGCAGGATGCGGGCGGCGTTCCACAACAAGAGCTCTTGCGTGCGGCGATGGAGCAAAAACCTTCAGATGTGCCACTCCATGACGCAGCCCAGGAAACGAGTGAGCTTGTGAGCGGTCATCGTTCCGCTTGTGTGCTGGCATGAATCTTGGATGCGTTTGGATGCGTGCATCGTCATTTTCGGGTGGCTGGTTTGGGATAAGGGTCGTAGTTTGTCGGGCCGGTTGGGTGGCACGATGGACCAGCGACAGCTTTGATGGCGAGCTTTTCAAACGTCAACAGGGCAACCGCTTCCCAAACTAGAGTGCTTGGAGCCTTGGCCGTTTTGCTAAAGAAATTGCATGTTTGTCACGCGCAAGGTGGCAGCAGTACAGTGTTCGCCCGTGAATCCAATGCATCCCATGCGGCCGTCATGAAAGAGCAGCAAAAGCCAAAATGCCCAAGTGCACAGCTAGTGGCATGTCCCTGGCCGAAGCCCAACGGACTCTACAAGTTCCGCATGAATAGACGGCGATCTAGGCAGCCGGCCATGTACCACTTTCACCCCATGACTCCTTCTCGCCCTTGCTGCGGTCAGAACGGCCTGCATCTCACCCATTTCACTCCTCAGTAGGCTGTCGTTCAATACCATGGGCATGCTTTGTTAAGCCCACGGTACGTGCGGCCAGCATTCAAGCTTTTGCCTTTGGCAGAGATGCTGACTGGTCACCACCAGCCCAGATTGGTGACGGGACATTTTGCGTTCCTGAGCCTGATTGGCATGGGTTCTGGGGTGACGCAAGCATGTCTGCACATGCCTTTCTGACACTTCAATCGGAGTTTATTCGTTTTGTAGCCCAGAGGACTTCGTTGCCAGCACCGTCAGGAGCATGGGATCTGTGCTTGCAAGTTTCATGACTTTGCTGCGAAAAGCCGGGCTGGTTTGCGTCGATCCATTTGCATCAAATTGTACACGAATTTGCAGCCCTCCGAGTGACACAAGAGCCATTGCTTGTCAGTAGAGCCACGTCAGCTATGATGGAGGTTGCCTAGTGGCATCTGGTGGTTGAGCACGTGCTCCCCTAGTGCTGCGCTGCTGCCTTCGGAGCTGCTTGTGGAACCCCAAAATGCGCCCGTCTGCTTGCGCGAGGTACTGTAGTTGCCAGCCACACCTTTTGTAGCCGGGAGCCTTTCCTTACAACCCAAGCAGCGCGATTCCGAACCTGCTGTCAGACGTTCGCGTGCTCTCTCAGTGTTGTGCTTTGCCATATGAATGCCGAGCCCAATTCTGAGCCGGCTGCTGATGGTGACAGGAACTTGGTTGGCTGAAACGGCTTGAGTGCTGTGCAGAAGCAAAGCCACGGCTGTGTCCGACACTTTCGGGTGGACCGTGAGGCGATAAGGACGACATGAATCGATCATGAGGACCCTGTGCCTGTGAGCTTGGCAGTGGCGTTGCAAGGCACGGTTGTGTATGGCAGCAGCAGCAACAGCAGCAGACAGCAGCAGTCCATGAGCGCGCATGATGCTCACAGCGCGGACACAGGACTGCTGGAGGCCGCTGGAGCTTTCCTACCGATAAAGGCTTCCAGGCATTGTCGGCCAGGTGCATTGAAGTGATTGAAGTGCCGGTCGCGCCCGTGACAATCTTTGTGATCACAAGTTTCGCAACGTCTACGTTTGCTCGCCGGCCACTGCATTGCAAGGTAGGCGTGGTCTGCGACATCCGCGGCCCGCTCGGCGGGCACACCGTGTGTTCGGGCTGTGTCATTTCGGTTTGTCGTTGATTTGGTGGGCCTGGGGCCCTGCTTCCACATGTGTGCTAGAACCATGCGGTTAAATCTAAGCTCCGCTGGCCCGCCCCTGCCATGCCACAGCCGTCAGCTGCAGTTTCCAATTTCATCACGGTCACAGTTGTATGACAATAGGTGCAACACCCAGCACTTCATATGTCCCTTCAAGATCTGCAAGGCGTGCAGAGGCTTCCGTACCCGAAGACCGTCAGCAGCTGTAAGCCATGCCACTTCAGGGCCAACCATGTTCGTGCAAGCATCAGAGGCTGTTTGCAGATGTCCGACCTTAGGGACGGACTCACCCTTTTGCGATGCAGTATGGGAGGTGTGGGAGGGCAGTGATGGCGTCCTGGGGCGGCCTGTGATGTTGTTCGTCAGTGGTGTTGCTTTCTCTGCACCATACGGCAGCACGTCTCGACGAGGCTGCTGCAACACCTTGCGCCCCTTGGCTCGTGCTACACCTGTCACTTGAAAAATGGGACATCGCGAATGCAAGTGAAGCCGGCCAGCACAGTCCGGGAGCCGTAACGCCTCTCCCGGACTTTGCCTGACCACTTGGTCATCAAGTCCGTATCTGGGTATCGAGTCACGTTTTTCTGCAGGCAAAGAATCGCAATCTTGCAAGCAACAGGCATGTGCGGCTACACCGCGCTTTGCTCGGGTGTGAGCTAGTTTTATGCCCAGGCGGATGTGTGCATTAGCCTTCGTGGCACGTGTGCATGCATCGCAATCAAAGAAGCCCCCCCAAGGCGCATCCTTTTGCTTTCGGGCCCATGCGAATCGCCATCGCTGTTGCTGATGTGCAAGATGCGGTCATGCCAATAGCTCGCTGCTAGGGTAAGCGCAAGCTGGACTCTGCCAAAGCTTTGGCCACCGAAGGTGCTGTGTGAATTGTATTTGAGTTTTGACGGCCGAAAAAGTTTGAAATCGTTTGAAAATTTTTGCATGTCTTCAATGTGTCTCATGACGACAGGATGCTGTGTCATTCCGGTCCGTGAGGTTGCTAAACTTCCACATCTTTGCCGTCTTTACGGGATGCAGTGCCTGCTTGATACTGACTGATGGGGGGGCCGCTTCTCTCGGCACACGCAGAGCAGCGCTCTGAATTCTGCAGATTGATGCGGTGCATGGCACGCCCTGCAATCCAGCTTCAAGCTGCAATCCAGCTTCAAGTGTAAGTCCTTTTTGTGCCTTTCAAGTACCTGCCTCGAAATGCTGCATGAAAACGATCTAAAAAACGCAATGGCCTGCCGGCGCTTTCGCCAGATGTGCAAGCGCTCGAACCAGTTTTGGATTCGACAGAATTGGCTGCACCGCTGGCGAGCTTCTGTGGTTCAGAGACGAAGAAGAGCAGGCGTGAGCGCACCACTTTGTCTTCAAGTGGTACCCCGTCTTCTGCATGTGGCGGTCTGTTCTTGTTGCTGTCAAGGCTGCCTGTCTGTCCGAGTTCTTGTGCATTCCGATCATGGTCTGGTGCTGCATGCAGAGGTGGCTGCAGTTCATCACCCACAGCTGCTGTCTCGCATCTGAGCCTGTTTCCATGAGCCTTGTCGGACAGCCCGGTCAGGGAATGTGAAGGGGCCGCCAGCCCTACTCTTTTGAGAAGTGCTCCCAAGGCCATCACGACTTGCGCAAGCCAAGGAAGCAAAGGGTGTTTAAAGGGTGGCTGTGCAAGCTTTGGATTAGTCAGACAGCGAGGCCATCATGGTCATCCCAGCTTGCTGTCACATTGCCTAACCTGGCTGCATCTTTCCTACTTTATCCATCAGCATTGGCAGCAATAGCACACCAATCAAGAGACATTGGAATCCGCTCTTCTTTTTGATGCAGCCAAGGGCTGGCTGCTTGTTCTCTGGGTTCGGTGCTCGCGCCCACACCACCCACGGAATCCCACAGATACGGCCCCGCCTCGTGCCGCATGTGAGACGAGACGGTTCGCATCGGTTTCTGCATCGGGTCCGAAGGTGCGTGCGGCAGGTACAGCCGGCTCAATGCAATGTCATGCCCATGCCTGTGTATGGTACATCCACCACAAAACAGATCTGAAGAGGGATGCTGGGCCGAGTGACTTGCCGCGCTTGTATCTGCGCATGTGCAACTGTCGAAGCGCTGCCGAATTGGCAAACTTGTGCCACCGGCCGTGAGCAAGCGCAGCAAGCGCAACAAGCGCGGCAAGTGCAGCAAGTGCCCTGCAAACCCTCAGAAGCCAACGCGGCCATCAACCTGCCGACTCTTCCGGCAACTGCTAGGATTGTTTTTCTGCGCACGCTCCGCTGCTTCCGGTGCTGCCTCGGAGCGATTGGTAGCCGTGGCAGCCACATGCTGTTGTCATGCCAGCTTTTGAGTTTTGGTCGTTGCCGGACTTGCCATAGCCAGAGCTTGTGCTGTCTGACGCTACGGATGCAAGCAAAAGTGATCAGACTTATCCCCATCCACCGGCGAGCCAACAGAGACCGCAAGCACAAGGCAATGGCGAGAACCAACAGTGAGGCGCCTGCCCCTCAAGCCTTGTCACCCAGAATGATACCAAGGCTGTTAGCTGCGCGATCGGCTTTGCAGATGCCTGCCCAAAGTAAGGGGCACAGAAATCTGCGCAGGCGGCGGGTAGGGCGTGTGCATCTGTGCGCCGCATGTCCATAGCATGCAAGAGATCGCAAGAGCCTTTCATTGATTGGTTTACCAAGAAAAGCTCACAAATGGCAAGGGGGCGGTCCTGGCATGTTTTGGCAACCTGAAAGGTGCGCCATGACATGCTCATCTGCCTCTTCGCCGCCTGCTGGCAGATCGATTCAATGAGCACGGCCCGCTTTCCCAGACATGGCTGCTGGCAGTTCTTGTTTACATCTGGTACGAAGTTGAAGCGGTGAATCTTCTGTTCACGAGGAAGGAGCGCAGCTGCTTGCGAATCCTTCCCGCTTGGCACCTGTGTCGCTCGCAAGTTCTGTTGTCGCCTCGGCCATGTTCTGTCAGTCGCTGCTGTCTGCGGTCGCTGGGCTTGCTTGCTGCGCCGCTCTGCTTGGATTTTGGAGCGCGCTTGCAGGCCTCTTGCTGAACGAGAGCGGCCAGCGCTCAGGTGATGTTGGGTCGCCGCTCTGAAGCGAGCTTGTTATGCAAATGGGCGTAGGCCCACATCGCTGAAAAGACGCTCGGGGTCTCCTCCGGTGACTCTGTTGCGGCGATCCCCGTTCGGCATGTTTGGCGCTTTTTGCCTGCCAAGCCTGAGTGGCCAGGGTTCTTGAAGTGAGCTCTGGCAAGCTTTGTGGCCGCTCGCTCTGCGCATGAGCATTCTTCCTCTTGCCAAAGGGCGACAGGTATCTCCTGTGCAAGAACGGTCATTTAGCCTGCGAGCTTGCAAGAAGTCTAAGTTTTTCTTGATCATTGGACTTAGTCAAAAAGCAAAGCGGTCTTGTCGCCTGCTCATGCGTACGTGTTCCCGCCTCAGCCGAAATCACAGGCTTGAGTGTGAGCACGGACGACCTGAAAAGATTCATGGGAGAAGGGTGCTTGCTTCACATACTTTTGGTTATAAGGCCTTTTGCGGAGCAGTCGCGATTCCTGGGCAGTACATGCCTGCAAGGGCCAATGAGTGTCCGCGGCTCTTGCGAGGAAGATGCCGACCAGCGAGGGGTATCTTTGGGGCACGGCAACTTGGCACTCAAACTCGCTTGTGAAAAGGCGCTTTGTGCGATGCCCGCTTGCCGTGGCAGCTCACTTCAGTTGTCACCGTAAGCCTCATGGCCCATGGCTTGGCGCATTAAGTGGATCAGGAGCTTGTGTTCCTTGACGCTCGGATGGTCGCTCGACTCTGTGCTGGGCCTTGCTTGCTCCCTTGGGGACCTGAGCAACAAGGCACTTGACACAACGCTTTGTGAGCGTACCATGTCCACCACCATTTGCATTGCGCTTGCGTGCCAGCTTGGCCCGTGCTTACCGACCCCGATGTGCAGCTATCCATGGAGGTCATATGCTTTTTTGATTCAGTATGTCAGGAACTCATTCTGAGAAGCGTCTTGAGCCACCTGCAGGCCGTAAAACGTTCACAAGCCAGCTTGGGTGTTGCGCCAAGCCGTGTTCCTGTTCCTTGCGGTAGGCTCCTAGCCATTAGCAGGAGCAGGGACTTGTTTGTGGCTACGGCGCAAAATAATCGTGGCAGATGCTGTGGGGGTGGCATGTTGGCAGATGCTGTTTCGTGGCGTGGTGCATGTGGCACAGACTTGGGGTCAGCTCGAAAGGTGAAAAGAAGAAGAAGAAGAAAAAGAAGAAGAGAGGGGGAGAGAGAGAGGGAGAGCGAGCGAGAGACAGAGAGAAACACCGGCAATAAACACAGCAACCATCTTCATGATTTCGGAGAGCATCTCCGGTACACCAACCCAGTTGTTGCAGTTTAGAGTTGCTTAAGTAGCAGACAACCTGTGAATCAAGACAGCGACCGCATTGGAATCCGGCCCTTGGGCTCAAGCCGCACGTTCTCGTTCTCAACCAACACAAGCACACGCGCTCACGCGAACACACGCACACACGCACACACGCACACACGCACACACGCACACACGCACACACGCACACATCACTGCATTTGCTGCTTGTAGCGTCGTCTTAACCCAGAACGCATCTTACAAGAAGTTCGTGACGAGAATCATCCATTGGACAGCATGTGTTCGCAGACGTCGCCTGTTTAGCTGCTTAGATTTTGTCGGAGTCTGTGCAGTGGCGGATGAGGGTTCACAGCTCAGTTGCTCCGAGGGGCAAGCGGAAAGCATTTTTTTTTAGAGTCTTTGCAGCTGAGGCTTACCATGGCTCGACCCAAACTGCCACCGCAACACATCCCATGTCTGTGCAACTTGGTGCGTTGAAGCGCCAAAACAGGGGATAGCAAACGTAGGCCCATGAAGCACATGTCGAGGTTTCTGAGCTGTCTGTGTTGTTGCATTGCTACAAAACTATGAGCCTTAAGCAGCTATGGCCGTGATACTACGACCACGGCCACTTGCAGAGCCGGATTTGTGTGGCTTCTGAGTACTTTTAAGTTCCATGCTTCTGGCCAAGTTGTCAAGAATCCCGATGTTTCCTGACGTTCCACGATGCTCGCATTAGGGAGCTTCTCGGGCACGTTCAAGGCGCCAGGATGTCATGCGGCGCGCTGGTGCACCATCGTGCCTTTGCCCGGCTCTGCCCCTTGCCTGGGTGACTTGGTGTCAGTTGCGACCCTGCCCCATGTGCCAGTGCCAATGAGGGGGCAGTGAGAAGCAGACGAGGGTGAGCCAAGGGCTGGTAAGAACACGGTAAAAACTGGTAAGAGCTTGTAAGAGGTTAGTTGGAAAGGTTGGAAAGAGCGTTGCTCCGCAAGAACGAAGTTGCTACTTGACGCCCTCTTGTGTTGTTCCGTCCTTTCTTGTTTGTTTGTTCCAATGCATGTCGGTTCTGTGCAGTATTGCAGGTCAGGACCGTCAGGACCCATAGACTTTGAATGTGGTGTGAAGGCTCCTTGTGTGCGGCACTAGCAAGCTGCAGCAGCAGAGCTGAAGTTTTCGCTTCATTGACACAGAGAGACAAAGCGTGCCTCTACGTTGCGGCTGTCTGCGCAACGACCTCAGGAATCGATCTCCTGTCTATGGCTTACGGACCGGGCTGTTGGTAGAGGCGGTTTACCAAACCTGAGTTAAGGCCAAGATCACATGCTGGGTCACGTCCGAATGCCCGCGCCGCAGGCGACTGTTTGCAAAGCAGCTGTGGCAGCGCTGCACCTGCTCCTGCCGTAGACTGTTTGGATCCCAGACAGGCGTTTACAGCTCTTGCGGCGGGCCACAGCGCAGCCTAGACACTGCCACCCGGCTCTGTGCCTTCAAATTTTGACTCGCATGGCCCCAGATGACCAAGCTTGTAATCTCGAGCGATTCGCAGCTTCGAAAGGGCATGGCGGGCATGGCGGGCAATGCCCAGCATCGCAGGTTATCTGCCCTCTTTGGTGCAGATATGAAGTCTACCCAACTTATCCAGCCTGGCACATTCATTGTGCCAAGCGATCGCATCGGCAAGGAGCCCAAACCGATCTTGCCATGGGTTTCATTGTGTTTCATTGCAGATTGGATCAGATTGGCTAGTACCTCTCGGCCCTCTATGCATCGGTGAGAGGCTGAGATGCAATGCTGGGCCGGTCGGGTCCGCAGCAGAAACGCTTGACTGGATGGATGATGATGCGGCACTGTGTAGCAACACTGCGTGCTGCATGCCGCCGTGCAGCCAACCCTTCCAGCAGCACAGAACGGCGCAGACGTCAACAAGGCACCTTGCAAACTCAGACCTGCGAGTGGACTGAGGGCCGGGGTTTAGGGTCTAGCAAAAAACGGATTTTGGGATTCAGGGATTCAGGGGCCTCAGGGGATCCCCAGTAACCTAGGGACCTAGGATTGAGGAGGGCCCCCTTTGTTTCGCATCCAGCAACTTTGTGCTCCATGTGTCAGTGTCACGCGTGGTTGTGCCCCCGACTTGTGATCGTAAAGGTGAGCCAAGACCGCTTTGCAAGACTCGGGTATTAAGTATTACTGGGTGCAAAGTGAGAAGGCAAGCTCGCAGGTCTGCCATTTGTGGGGGCTTTTGCTAGTAAGCGCTGGTGCTGCGGGTCCACCCAGCAAAGAGAGCATTCCTTCCGTCAATGCTCGTTTTCTCGCATGCGCTAAGTCCTTGCCTTAGCACTCGTGCCATGGAGAACGTGATTCCCAAAGTTGCCATTCTTCCTTGTTAATTGGATGGAAGCTGGCTCCTTTCAGCAAGTCATGCTGAAGCTGCCTGCCGGAAGCACGACCCACGCCATGCAACTACATACCTTTACCAGAAGGATGGAGAAGGATGCCTCTAGATGTGGCAGCCACTGTTGTTTGCGAAAGATGTGGTGCATCGTCTTCTGAGTGACGGCTCGAACGTACCCTGGCTCTTGTCGTGCCTTTACTCCAGACTGGGGGTGAACTTGTGACCCGTGCATCCACATCTACAGCGGCACCTTTAGCAGGTTCGGCGTTAAGCAGCTCGGTTTGTCGCCGATGGCGAATCGCTTCACGACCTGTCGCAGATTCTGTGTGTGATGGCTATCTTTCCCCGGATTTGTCTCTGGTTTGCGGGCACATGTTGGCTTGTCCGTATGTGGAAACGCTTTTCGCGGTGCCTCTGTCTCCAAGAGCGGCACATGCGAGTAGAAATGCCCAAAAAGTTCACTTTCGGGTTGTTGCTTTGAGGAACAGCAGCCGGGGAGCTGGATCCAGAGCAGCGTGCCTCATGGCTCATCTTCGCTGTTATGCAATGGACACCTGCCTGTATACGCCTTTGAAATGGTTTTTTTCACCTCAGCTACTCTTGGCTGCAGCGGCCCAGCTTCCAGGCTCGGAACGCGCACGAGTCCCTGCCAGAAGCTTCTGGTGAAACCCGGTCCACGGGTGGAATCGGTAGCCGTTCACTTGTTGCACGTCGGGAGCAGATCTCCGGCTGAAGAGCAAGCATTCGTCCCACAGAAATGATGTCAGTTGTGCATGTTGCAGCTTGTACCGCTTATCGCTCTCAGCTCCGTGACGACGGATTGAGACTTATTATCTTTTCTGAGAGTTGTCTAACAATTTCCACGAAGTTCCAGCAATGCCCCGGCTTTGGCTTCCCACTTGCTTCCTGCTGGCTTCCGGCTTCCTCATGCTTCCCGTTTTTGGGGATTGGGGTGACTGGCTCTCCATAACTACCGAAAATTCCTGGTTTATAGTTTCGTTTAGACAAGGT